AAACGAATTTTCCATTAAATCTATTCAAGATGTTATAAATCAGATGCATCGTTCTAAGTTGGAGTCATTTCTATCCGTATATTGGCATTATCACTTGGTCAATGGTATTGTCTAACTTAATGAGTAATCCAATTTTCTAGAGAAGACATTTCTGCATCTTTTGAGATGTTTCCGAGGTCGAACAAATGAATGGAAGTAGACAAACATCCAAAATACTAAGAGAATCCCAAAAAACGATTTTTTTTTACACAAGTACCGAGTAGGTGTTGTCATTTGTATACTTTAGCATTTTTCACAGACAAGTCAGAAAGAGCTCATATTTTGGATTTATAGGTTTCTAATGATGATCTATTGTTTGAGACAACTGAACCAAAAATCAAAACTTTACCAGTGCCTGGTTTTCTACAAACTGAATAAATACTCTCGTGGATCCTCTCTAAAGGAGTCCATTTTCGTGCAATCCCCCTTGTCCATTGAGCGCTTAGTGTTGCAACTATCCTAATTAAGAATTTTATGATAGTTGCCTTTGAAATGGAATAGTCTCCTCGTTGATAACTTTACTGAGACGAAAATGACTCCAACTTAGAACGATGCATCTGATTTATAACATCTTGAATAGATTTAATGGAAAATTCGTTTCAAAAATAGCGAATAACTTTTACTGTAACAATGACTCATACGGATTATAATCTCACCAGTTCATATCTCATTTTACGTATGAATCTTATGTTGATAGAGCGAACTATGCACCGAACAAACTACTGGACGAACAAAGTCATATTAAGCAACACAAGAGTTAGTACTATATTATACATTAGTCCGAAAATAAACGAAGCGTTGCTTGTGGGGGGGGGGGGGGATAAATAAAATGGTAGATTCATGTGTAGTTAATCTCAGGACCCCATACCTGACTCATTCATATTCTGAAAGTAATCATAAGGAAGAAACAGTTTCATGGGATCACCGAATATCACAGGAAATCACTGAAAATTAATCGCTTTGAGATTATTTTCAGGACCAGTTTGCACTAATTTGAATCAGATGCTTCCTTCTCGATTGAGTCACAAGTCTTTCACGAAATCTTCTTCAGTTCAGCCCACATGATATTATTACCCTTATCTGTAATTGCTTAAGTAGTCAAGGAACATCTATATGAATTAACACTCAATCGATTATCTTCATGAAGAATGTTTTGAATTCTTAGAATTGTTGTCGTTTATTTTTGTGCCTCTCTATTTCTGAGACGAAGTGTGTGGTGGCTCCCCTTCTAAAAGCGTTGGTGAGATGGGTAAATTAGTCGTTGGGTCTTCTCTTCATCCACATCCAGCCGACCAGTCATGTATTTTCACCCACCCACCTACAACAGACTCTCATTTTAATCTGGAAACATTTCATCTAGGTCTAAGATTTTGATCGAATGAAAACCCAGTGATAGTTCTTCTGAGTCATTGCTAACGTCCAAAAAAAGATTCAGCACAACCAGTTCTTAGGAAGCTGATGTTGATTATGAGGAAGAAAATGAAAGCTGGACGAGGTCATTAAAAGCGATGCGCTTTTTTCAGTATATTTCTATACCCAGGACTTCTTGTCTCATATTGTCACTGATCCGTCCCTGAAGTAAACGGTTATCATTTTTTCTAGCGTAACCGTATTTTATCGATTATGGCCAAAGCAGAAGATCATAATGAATGGAATCCTCGTTTGATTGAGAACACATGCGATGAACCTGAACTTTATCTACAACCGCTCGAAGATTATCAAGAGTCAAAGCTCGTTTCTCTCGAGGAAGCTATTGAACCAATAAAGGTACTGTTTCTTAATTTGTCTCGTGATGTTTGGATCGCGAAGAATGCATCGAAGAATCCAGCCGATGGTCTTCCTCCTGACGAATCGGCTGCTATTTGTCTTTATACCATGGAAGTAAATTCTCGAGGTCTATATTCAATTCTGAATGAAATGTTGCGCGATAGAGATCGGCAAAAGCTCAGACCATGGTTCTCATATCTCAAACTATTTATTACTGCTCTCTTTAAAATACAGCCATGCTCAGCTAAGGTGATCTATCGCGGTGTCAAGGCTGATCTTCATTCAAAATATCGTCCTGGTGAGCGTTATATATGGTGGGCATTTTCTTCGTGTACTCTATCGCTTGCAGTGCTGAAGAAACCTATGTATTTGGGTGAGACAGGACCAAGAACTCTCTTTAACATTGAATGTACGAATGGAAAATCTATTAAATCGCATTCATATTACAAGAATGAAGATGAAATATTGCTCTTACCTGGATTCTATTTTGAAGTTGTGAGCCAAGTCGAAGCTGGTAATGACTTGTACATTATACATTTGCGCGAACTGTCTCCTCCTTATGTTCTTCTTGGATCGCCATTTACGAACGTTCCATGTACTGTAAGTTGTTTGCTTCCTATTAAACATATAATTTTTACATCTATTCATAGGTGTCACCTGAAGCAAGTGCTCAGAAAGGTAAAAATCTATAGCACTCTAATCAAACTCTTATGATTTATTACGACAAAATTAGGATCAGATATTCCTTGTCCATTATGAAGCACCAAAAACTATGCCTAAATGGTCACCATTTGATGACAACTTTTACTTTGTAGTTGTTTTCAAAAATGCGTCTCAATGGTGGAAAATCATGCATTGTAAATGCACCACTTGATCCTGTTTAACGAGATTTACAATCTTCATTCATAGGCGTGCCTCTTTTCACGGTCACAAAAGCACATTGATAGGTTTTTCTCACATTTTTGGGAAAACGGCGGTGCTAAGACGATAAATGCTTCAATGAAACTGCTATGATACCGGAAGAAAGGATAGAGAATATGTAGAGCAATAAGTAGTTTTGAACAAATTTCGATTGAAGCGGAAGTATTAGTATGTCTATCCAAGCGGAGACTTCCAAAAGTATGAATGATATGAAGAAAAACATAAAACTACCGAGCTTTCATATATGTTTTCTGCCCTTCAACATATGTTTCAACAAAAATCTCTTATAAAATGCCAGAGTTAGCCAGAAAATGTCGATGGAGTCTTCTGTTCTGATCGAAGAGCCCATCAAAACTAATTCCAGTAAAAAGCAGAGTTATGTGCTGTCCTCTTTCATAAGATGTGTGCTTTCCGAAATTTATTTACTTGGGTATGGGTGTTGGTGTGGAGGTGGGAATCAGTACCTTTTCCATCCACACCCCTTTTATCAATCCTTTGTTCTTCTCTCGATTGTAACAATATATCATCAACTACCTCTCTTTCCTTGACTCTTTCTCTCCTTTTCTCGTTCTCTGTCTCTCCTGGTTGCGTATATAAACATGTGCTTTGCACGTAAGCAATGCAGTGAACGATATGAAGAAGCTGAATAAAGTGTAATGACAAACCGTATTAATACTTCTTCTATCTAAAATCGCAACACAGATAAGAGGATATTGTATCTAAAGTCATCTTTCCTCATTAGAAGCGTTCAAAGTAATCAACTGAGTGGACATTAATGAACTTCCTCAGTACCATATGATAAGTATGAATTTATATGAAGCTTCCCACTGCGCATCCAATAGCATACAGTATTAAGTATTTTAGCCGATTCTCTCGAAGTTGCACGCAATGTCTGTAGAATGATGCATTGCTACACGAAGCTTTTTTTCTAGAATCGAAAAGGTACTTAAAGATGAGATTTTAAAATGTTCCACGACTTTTGAACAAGATTACGCATATTTTGAATCCTGCCAAAACGACTGTATTTTCAAATAACATTATCTAATACAGACGATGTTTTTGTTCGAGATCAACTCAACTATTGACATTGGCAGATCTTAGTATCTATTTTTGAATTTTAGAGCCGCCACAAGAATTGTCACAAATATCAGATCAGGATCTAAAATTGGATGAAGAAATTGGTCGTGGAGCATTTGGAATAGTTTATCGAGCTCAATGGTTGAGTCGACACCGAACAGTCGCTGTCAAAAAGTTACACCTTACTCAGCTGGACAAACAAGCTGAAAAAGATTTTTTCAAAGAACTTTTGTTGATGAATAATATTTCTTACCCTCACATTGTTACTTTTTATGGTGCATGTACAGAACATGGAAAGTATGCATTGGTAATGGAATACATGTCATTAGGATCATTGTACAAAATTCTGCACAAGGATAAAATACCATTAGATTGGTCTCAAAGATTATCTATCGCTTTACAAACAGCCAAAGGCATCAATTATTTACATATAATGCAACCACCCATTTTACATCGCGACATAAAGTCGTTGAATTTCTTGCTAGAGAGATTCCATGATAGGTACATTGTCAAAGCGTGTGACTTTGGTTTGGCTCAAACACGAAGTGAAACAACACGGAAATCTCAGTTGATTCATGAGTTGCCATTTACAATGCAATGGACAGCTCCCGAAATACTGCGTATGAAAAAGCACACAACTAAGAGTGACGTTTACAGCTTAGGAATAGTTTACTGGGAACTAGCTGCAAATGAAATACCTTATGATGGACACCAATGTGAACATATTCGTCAATTTGTACTTTCTGGCGATCGCTTGGAGATACCTGAAATCACATCATCGAACTTTTCTACACTAATCAATAAGTGTTGGGTCAACGATCCCAATGATCGACCAGATTGTTCTCAACTAATCAAAATCATTGAAGAATGTATTCAAAATCAAAGTAATTTCATTTTTCTTGCTCTGCTGTAAAGAAGTAAAGTGAATTGATACTAATTAATCGTGTAAAATTAGGAGTAGTGCCATGCTTGCAAGCTGAATTCAATTATTGCATTAATGTTCAGGTGCTCAACTATTTAGCGTTGCTTGTTTTCGTGTATAGACTTTGTAGCAACTTTAGCAAGATAGATGGCATGTGCAGATATTTTCTAGAAACACTTGAATAGTTGAATTCACTTTTTGAATAAATCAGCACTTGAATTTTAAATTTCCAAATTTCAGCTTGTAAGTCTTGACATGTACGAAGATGATGAAAAAAACTGATCATATAAGCATACTTGAAAGTTGACTTCTATTCAAGTGTCAAATTCTAATTCAACTTGCAGCTTTCAAGCACACACATTACTCTCAACGTGGTACGATAGAAAGAAAGGTTATTGAGAGCTGAAAACTGGGGTGAGTGTGATGTGAGTGTCAGTATGCGGCTCTGAGTATGGCGTGAGTGCTGAGCTTCTCTTGCGGCACACTCACACTCACACTCATCCACACCGACTTCCGCACAAACCCACAGTTTCACACATGCATATTTTATGGAAAAATGAGACAAGCATTCAGTCAACCACTTTCAACTCACCTGCATCTTGCTTTGTTATGTTTTCAGATCCATCGCCTCAGCCTCCTCCATCTGTTTTAAGTAAGTAAATTCAACTCACTTGGATGTGGGTGTGGTGTGACTGTCGATATGCGGTTGTGAGTAGGGCGTGGGTTCTGAGCTTCTCTGGCAGTACACCCACACTCATACTCATCCACACTGGCTTCCACAGCTACATTCCACACTCAACCCAAAGTGAAACAAGTTCGTAAAATACATTTGACTTAATGTGTACTTACAGTATTGGAACCAGTGAAGTTGATAAAAGTGGAACCAGCATCGAATACAATTTCCTTGAAAGAAGGCGAAACATTCACCATCGCTGTGGATGTCAGTGGCAAGGGAACACCGAAAGTTCAGCTGACAAAAGATGGAGAAATAGTGAATTTTACAAGTGTGAAAATACCACGATACACATTTTCAGTGGCTAGTGTAAAATTAATACATCAAGGTGTGTACACGATTATAGCAAGAAATGAGACGTCAAATGAATGGATAGCTGTCACTCTTAATGTTGTTGGTGAGTATGCCTACATTTCAAAAATAAAGGACGGGGCGTACAATAATAATTTTTGGGCAATCGGTAATTTTGGTTGGTCCATGGTTTATTAAACGCATAATTTTAAGAGGAATCTTTTCGTACTAAAATCAAGCTTTTTGAAAATGTCTAGATAAACTTTTATTATAAAAACGGGCGCGATGTTTTGTACTATAAATGTATGATTCCTATATAGAAGAATCAAGCATGTATGTTTTTCCCACATGAGTCATTTCGTGTCAAAAAGTAGATTAACCGACCATCTATTTCATAGTCTATCTCTGGTAAAAATTTCAACTCGAACGGTTGAAGTACTGCTGAGCTATGACGTAAATATTGCTTCAAATGACCGTAAAAATCACATAGTAATGTTACAATTACTGTTCACATCTATTTTCTATTTGCTCCCTCTTTCTAGAAAGAAAAAAAGCAACATCAGCTTTTGGCTGATTCTCAAAGGGTGTAGGTGGCACGCGCTTATGCCTGTAGCTGCCGTTGCGGGTCAATGCAAGACGATGGGCAACACCCACAGACACACCCACACCCACACCCACACCCACACCCACACCCACACCCACACCCACACCCACACCCACACCAGCACCCACACCAGCACCCACACCCACACCAGCACCCACAACCACACCAGCAACCACACCCACACCCACACCAG